GGCTGCTGGCGGCCTTTGAGGCGCCAGATCCCTCGTCTCCCGGCGATGTGATGGCCGGTGACCATGTTCTTCAGCCAGGGCGTTCAGCGAGTATACAGCATGTCGATGTTTTCGGCGTGCGGATCTTGGTGGCATCAAAAAATTGTGAAGTTCCATCGTCTAGAAGGAGATCGGCTTCAAGCTACACTTGGCTGCTCCGATCGCCGGCGACGAGGACGACCGGGAGGATCTTGCAAGGACTGAGTAGCGCAGTTTTTGTTGTCTTCATGTGTGTCTTTGTAAGACGTGGAACGTAAACTTTAAGAAGCCTATGTAATATTTATCTCCGGTTTCTCAAAAAAAACTATGTTTCCGTGGAGCTAGGATGCCATGCCCAAGCTTTCGACCGGCCAGCATCACGCGAGCCAGGTTGATATAGATTCACCCAACCAATAATGCCCCTAATATTTACGCCGTCTTGTGCGCTCGATTGTAGTGAGAAAAAGCGATTCACATCCCCAAACGCACCGCTTCAGAGTAGATTCTCGTCACACTATGGTTGAGTGGGTTTCTAAATACAACGTAAAGGGGCTTTTCTATCAAGGCTCGTCTCCAGCTTTTCTCCATCACTCGTGCTCTTCCTCCTAACGCCGAGCTCCTCCTTTGTGCGGCACCTGTCCTCAGCACCGCCGCCAAGAACTATCCTTTGTGATGCGCTCCTCCTCCTCATGCTCCTCTGGGTGATCGCGATCGGTCTCTTCATCCACACCACCGTCGGTCGCCTCCCTGCACTCTACCTCCACGTCGCTGCCGATCATCACCCTTCCTGTGTCGGTTGCATTACAATGGGTGGTGGTGAGCGACATGGCAGTGTGTGGCAGTGGGGTATGGGAGCATGTGGCAATGTGGTAGATGAGGAGCGTGGTGACTAGGACTCGTCGGAGGATTTGAGAATGTGATACAAGCATGGGCTTTTTCTAAGAGTAGTTTGGTCTGGAAGAGGCGCCACTGGGCCCAAAAGTGCAACTAATCTCATCTACTGGAGGATGTTACACAGTGGTGGTAAACCCGCAGGCCCAACAGCCAACACCGTGGAACTGGAACGGACAACGGAGGATGCCCGATGCCGGGCAAGAGCGGGTTGGGCTGCTGCTGGGGATAGGATATTTTGGCGTGGCCAGATGCATATCATCCATTGGAGATGCGGGACCCGGCGCCAGTCCGCTTCATCTTTTTGCTTTTGTTTGATTGATTGAAAAAAAATGGCTCCATCCTTATCTACTTTGCTGCGTCATCGCGGGCTCGATCGCAGCCTTTGGGAGGTCCGCTCACCGCGCTCCCCAGCTGAAATTTGCAGTCCAGATCCAGAGGCCACGCCAGGTCGCAACCGCATTGTCCGGCTTCCATCGCGCCCTTGGCGGTGGACCCGTGGTTCCTTGACCAGGCCGGTGTCGGGACACTCTTCCCCTCCGTGATTTAAGAGAGGCCCATCAGCTCGCTGCACCTGTAACCCGCGCTGCTCTCGGTGCATCCATCCATCCATCCTTGTGGCTTTGTGAGTGAGCTCGAGAGAAAGAAGCGGCGAGCGAAGATGCTGGACAAGCTGTGGGACGACGTGGTGGCAGGGCCTCAACCGGAGACGGGCCTCGAGAAGCTCCGCAAGGCCACCACCGCCCGCCCGCTCGTCGTCGACAAAGGTATACCAGCGGCAAGCAAATGAATCTCTCATTATTTACGTTGTTCGGGAACAGAGAGTCATATATAATCAAGATTGGTCTAAAATTAAGCATACTGCGTGCTCTAGCAAAATCCACCACACAAGTTATTACCCGGTTCGCTCACTGACTCAGAGCGTACTGACCGCCGTTTTTTTTACTACTAATAAATTATTAAGACGCGGCGGACGCCGGAGCCGCGGGGAGCTACAAGCGGACGCAGTCGATGCCGTCGACCCCGACGACGCCGGTGACGCCGTCGTCGTCGACGACGACGCCGCGCGGCGCCGGCAACGTGTGGCGCAGCGTGTTCCACCCGGGGAGCAACCTGGCCACCAAGGACTTGGGCGCCAACCTCTTCGACCGCCCGCAGCCCAACTCCCCCACCGTCTACGACTGGTAAGCCGCATATATGCATCGTCTCATCCCTCCATCTCTCACTGCCGTCTTCCATCGCAGGCCATCAATCACTTGCATGGTTATAGCTTAAAAAAAAAGAACCTACGTGGCTACGTGATCTGCTCAACAGCAAGATCCAGCATCGAACTAATCGAGCACAAACTTGGCTGCTGTGCTGCTCCCACTGCACTCCTGCTCTCCGAGTCTTGTTTAACTAAATGAATGGTTGATTTTAATTAGTTTCTGTTCCAAGCACCCAGAAAGATCTATAATCAAGACGATACATATGCACTAGTGAAGTTAGCACAAAAAATATTTAAACAAAAGCAACACTGGATCCACTTAGCGCGCCACATGATGATTTGCTCACGTGGCATGCCAATCCAGAAGCACGACCGAGGAGAGTGAGACAGTGACATAGATCGAGTGCTATGTTTGAGTGTTTGTTGGAACGGATAAGGCCACACACGCTGGTGACCAAAATTATCATAAATAAACTCTTGATTTGTTTCTCTAATATAGTAATATTTTAACCTGTGAAAACTATCTAGTACTACTAGCTAGTTAAACAATGGTGTCATTTGGACTTTTAGCAAACAAATATCGTGGCACAGAATGTTGTCATGTGTATAATACGTATTTCATTTCAGGCTGTACAGCGACGAGACCAGGAGCAACCACCGTTAGATCGGACTGATGAGATCGGACAAGGTGGATGATGATGAAGGGCCCGGCGGTCTCTGTCAGGCCATCATGTTTGCTGGTCCTTGTGGTTATCTAAAAGTCGCATGCATGCTCTATTATAGTACTTCTGCTTTGCTGTTGCTGATAAACACTTTGCCGTTTAATTTGTCCTATATGTTATGTCATGTTATGGAGTGAAGAGTGATATGCAGTCGCTCCTAGTAGTGAGTACTGAGTAGTTCCTCTGACTCGGCTTGGCCAGTGAAGGGAGCTCTGTGTGTGGTACGTGTGGGTGTGTGCTAGCTTTTCTCCATCTTGTAAATATTTTGCCAGTGAGTAAACCAGCGCTGAAGACATGGATAACAACAAAATTACTCAGACAAGGATCCGTTCTTTCGCTGCTTAGCCTAAACACATACACACCATACAGACACGGTAGTATTGTATCGGTCTATGTTATGTGCGGCAGGGGAATGCGAACAAAATGCACCGTGATGGGTAACGGAGCCCGATTTTGGCTCCTTGGTAAAAGTTACCCCGTTAACTCAATTTAACTAATCACTAAAAAATGGTTGCCACGTCGTTGTCGGGCTGCCGTGTTGGGCTTGTGCTGACCGTGACTTGCCATTTGCAACCGCAATCGGGCACCCGTGTGAGGATTCAATCAGATCTGGCTATGCCATCCTACCTCGATAGCGAAATCGGCTAGCCAGTGGGTGGTGGCATTAGTACTAGTCAATTGACTATTGCTTATCGTGCTATTTGTTTCAGAGACCACCTTTGCGTGTTACAGAATGCGGAGGTAAAAATGGATTTTAGCTACCATCAGACTCTGACTTGAAGAATGCCTAGAATGCTGAGTGAAAATGGATTTTAAGGAAACTCGCCGTTTGGTGCATCTAGGTGAGACTAAGGTCCTGTTTGGGACCACTTTTAGACGGCTTCTGGCAAAAAGAAATCGTCCAAGGGTGTCAAACGTTATGATTCTCCACTGGCATATTTTGCCCGCGTTTCTTTCACCGCTTCGTATCAACATAAACACGAAATCGCTTCGAGCCCCGCGTCTGCCTCCACTCGCTAGAGCCCCCATCTCCTCCTCCCCTCGCTTGGCACCGTGTCTGGTCACCTTGAGTCCTATCTCCGCCTCCCTCTCCCTCCCCCCCCCCCCGCCACCGGAGCCAAAAGCAGTCGAACCTGACAGATCTGCCTCCGACGACAACGCTATGGTGGGTGATGTCCGCGAGACGGGGCTGGTGGTGGCACCGAATCCAGTGAGATGGCTACAGTGTGACAGCATATGGACCTACGCAACATCCTCCTCATCGAGCCCCTCCTCTTTCTCTGCGTCCTCGTCGGAGCTCGAGCATGTTGAGTTCTTTCTCCCCCTAGAATCTACCGTACCAAACGCTAAGCTTTTTCTCCACGTGATTCTTATAAAAGTTCGCTGTGGAAGAAGTGCAGCTTTGATTTCAAGGGAGGTCTAGAAAAGTTGTTTCAAACAGGGTATAAGATATATCGAGATTTGAAACAGCTTTTTTTTTGTGAAAATAGATAAAATTCTATAATGTGATATTGTCAAAAGTGACAACTAAGCATCATAAACCTGCTAGGTTGCTGAAATCATTGAATATTCTTAAGTGGAAATGGAGAAAATAATATTACGATGGATCTTTGTGACCGGATGTCCTCGCTCTCATAGAGGAAGGATGCTATAGAGTATTAGTATCCGCCCTAGAGTGGTGAGGTTGAGCCCAATAACAGGTAACCTATGCTGAAAGAAAAGAACGGTGATAAAAAGACCTAGAGTGATATTGAATCAATAACTTAGATTATGTTTGGTTGAGCTTGTGAAGAGTGCTTTTGTTATTAAAAAATGTAAAGCTAACCAAACAGATGAAATATGAATCTACTTTTTTCATAAATAAAACACCTTGATCCCGCTTTTAACCCTCCGTTTTTCGAAATGTATAGATAGAGAGTTGTTTCACAACTATTTCAAGAAAAACAAAGGGAAAAAGTGTTTTCGCCAAACAATCTATAACCACAGATTATAGCTCACGACAGCTTTTTCGTAGCTCATATTAATTTTTTCACGGTCGACGGACCATTAATAAAGCCAAAAAAGAGTTAAGCCCCTGATCTACCCACTTCTCAGCTCTCACTCTGCCCAGTCATCAGAAGTCAACGGCCGTTCAGTTCCTTCCCCGCTCTCCGTCCTTCGGCATGCTTCTCCTCAGCCCCTCGCCGCCGGCTCCTGCCGCCGCGGTAACCGTCCCCCGTCGTATCCTCCTTACTCCCCACAGGCGCCTCAAGGCTACGTCCACCCCACCGCGCCTCGCCTGCCTCCGCCTTCGCCCCGCGGCCCCGCTCCGCGGCATTCCGTCAAAGACCGGGTGCCGCGCGGCAGCTGCCGATGCCGATGCAGCGCCCTCCCAAGTTCCAGGCGGCGATGCTGGCGTGCGTGGCGCGATGGTGCGCATTGGGGAGGCTCTGTCGCTGGGGTTCCCGGTGTGGGTGGCGTCGGCCTGCGCGCTCGCTCTGTGGAGGCCGCCGGCCTTCCTCTGGGTCGGACCCACCGCGCAGATGCTCGGCCTCTCCTTCACAATGCTCGGTTGGCGCCTTCCTTCCCTTCCGTAGTTCCGTTCCCCCGCTAGTACTTGTTCTACCCCTCATGGTGCTGTCTCCTGCCACTTCTTCCAAGTGGACTCAAACTCTACTTCCCCTCTGGGGTTATTAGCTCTGTTGATGTCCTCTATACGATATTAGAACAGCTGCTAGCAATGAGATCGCTGACTAAATGCACAAGCTGATACCAGGAAAGTATATCCCAAAATGAAAAAGGACAGACAAGTGATTAGGAGAAAAGGAGATGAAGATTTAAAAAAGAACCGTACAATTTCAGTACTCTAGCACAATATGGCATCTTTTGCATGTTCTCACTTTGATACGAGTTTTTGGCTTTCTAGTTTCTATATAAGATGTTCTCTTTACTGTGCCATTACGATGGAGGCAGCAGGACCAAATTCTCGAGCACTCTGCAGTTCATGGATTAAACCAAATTGCTGTAGCTACGATTAACATAACCTACTCACGTCTGTTGTCACTTTATATGTGCAAACTGAGGAGTGTTTACTTTCTTGTGTCTGGACCTGGACATGTTATTCACCCCTGGTTTCATTTGGGGACCGTTGTATTTATAGTTGGGTAATTGATATATAATTTATACCTACAGGAATGGGAATGACATTGACTTTGTATGACCTCAAAACCGCATTATTGATGCCGAGGGAGTTAGCTGCTGGATTTATACTGCAATACACGGTCAGTTCCCCCCTTTTTTTGTTCTTCATATGTCCGAATCCTTGTAATCATATTCTCTGAGTTCAAAATACACATACATTTACGCTATTGATGCATAATGTTAGTATATTTGGAAGTTAGGATTAGAGTTTTCCTTGTCGCAGGCTCCATTAAGAGGTCAACATGACTACATGACTTTTTTCAACTCACATGACTACATGAGTTGGTGACTTGGTATGGTGAAGATTGAATCCTGATCATTGAGGCTAGCAGATTAGAAGAGAGGGAATCAAATGAAGTTGTCAGATAGTATGCTACAGTACATAGTCCATGTTGTAGTGCTAATGTAGCCCTTCACTAGTGGCGTATTTGGATTGAGTCACCAGGTGATCCATCGAACCATCCAATCCTAGTAACTTTGTTTGGTTTGCATCCATGGTTCCGTGTGTCCATCATGGACCCGTCCATTTGAAGCCAACCAGCGAGCCTTTTGTGGGGACCAACCCCAAAGAAAAACGTCCGAAGATGTCCTGCACGGTTGGGGTTCTGGACCAGTCAATCCAACAAACCAAACACACTGTAGAGTTGATCATGTTACCTACATGTCTAGTTTCCACGCCTGCCGGTTCAACAAACCTACTCTACAACATCTGGTATAAGAAACATGGTTGTTTTGATTGTTCCCAATACTGGGAACAATTCGCAAAACCTAAAATAAGTTCTAGTGAATTGCATAATGGAGACCAAAAAAGAAAAAAACTTTCCTTGTGGCATGAACTATGCGGAAGTTTCAACGAGTTGGAGCCTCACCCAGGTCCCCACATATGACATCATGGTTGAGTCATTAGTGCATCCTGAAAAAACTTTTTGGCAATTATCTAAACACTAAAAATATCATAATTATTGTTGTTTTAAGTGGATGAAAAACCATATAAAATATTAAACCATACTGCTTACATCTTTGTTAGAATATACATGTATATGTGCTGTGCGTGTATGGGCCTGTGCCTGGTATAGCCGGCCAGCCCTATATTTGGTTAGAGAGATATGAGGAGATCTCTGTTGGTTCTGTTTCTATAAGCCACAAGATCTCCTCTTCCCTATATATATGTACATAGGACTCTCCAATCAATCTAATCCAATATTCCACGCAATCTCTATTGCTTTCATGGTATCACGAGTCTAGGGTTCCTTCCGCTCCTCTTTCGCATGCCCAGAATTCGCGTGCGCATCCTCTGCAGCACCAATCATGCCCGGCGATCCTCCACCCCCTGCTCCCCACCAAGACGCTCCTTGACCCTCGGCTTGACCTCGGCATAGATCGCCACCGACGCCTCTCGTCTGCTGCGACCGCCATCGCCGCCAGAGAAGCGCGCCACATGCCGACGCTTTTTGAGCTGGCTGCCCAAAGCTCGCCTCGCCACGCCACGCCTCGCCCGTGGTCGAGGTGACCAGGTCTGCTGTGAATAGAAGCCGAGCGCGACGCCGCCGAAACTTCGCCTCGTGGCGCGCTTCAGCTCGCGCGCGCCTCGGCGTCTGCGACCCAACCCTCCTCGAAGTGCCGACGGTTCCGGTGGCGAAGACTCCGACGCCCGGCGACGATCCCTCCAGGATGCTCTCTTCCAGCACGAGGCCGCAGCCTTGATCAATCTGCATGCCCAAGCCGTGGTCATGCAGAACATCCGTCTCCTCGTGCCGCTCGTCCTCGACGTCTCTTCGACGTTCTACGGCCGCTGGCGCGAGTCCTTCCTCCACGTCGTCGGCCGCTACTCTCTGGAGAGTCACGTTCTCTCCGACGCGTCCACTCTCACCTCGCCGGATTGGGTGCGCATGGACTACGTCGTTCGGACTTGGCTCGTGGCGGCACCATCACCGACGCCGCCGAGACCGCCATCGAACCGGCACGCCTTGCCGTGTCTCATGGTTTCGCCATCGAGTCCGATTAAAAGTGGGAATCGCGAAACCCGTGCACTCACCTCGACGCGAATTCCGCAACTTCAAGCAAGGCGATCAAGACATCACCACCTATTGCGGGAAGCTCAAGGGCATGGCTGATGCTCTCCGCGACCTTGGCGAGCCCGTTCTAGACCGCACGCTTGTGCTAAACCTCATCCGCGGTCTCAATGGCCGCTTTGAAGCCATTGGGCTCCACCTTCGTCGCGGGCATCCCTTCCCTTCCTTTTTGCAGGCCCGCAATGATCTTCTCCTTGAAGAGCTCACCATGGAGGCGATGCGGCACGGCCATCGCTTCTTCATGTCGGGTGCCACCCCCTCCAGCGTGGCTCATGAGGCTGCCGTCGCTCCTCAGCACCTCCGCCCGCGCCTCCACAATGACGGCCACGGTCAACAACAGCCCTCCTCCCACGGTGGGGGGCAGGCAGCGCCTTGCGGCGGCGGCAAAGATGTGTGGTGGCGGCCGTGGCCAAATGCCCAATGATGGGCAGCAATCGGCGTCTTGGCCTAATCTTCATCAACCATGGACCGGATCCATCAACATGTGGCACGGACCCCGCCATCGACGCCCGCACCCTCATGCTCTCTCTCGGCGGCGTGCGGCAGCCTCATACTCTCTCCTCGGCGGCGTCACGGCAGACCTCTAGGCGACAAGCGAGATGCCTCATGTACCGCTGGCGGCAAGACAAACAGGCTGGGGTGTCCACCCGGGCGTCTGAAGATAAGCACCGCCTCCGGCTGGCCTCTCTGACCATTTGTTGGCTTCTCAGTGGGATGCGGCAAGCTTGGCTGCCAACTTCCAAACGATGTCGCTGCAGCAGCCCCCATCCAGCAACTGGTACTTCGACTCCGGCGCCACCAACCATATGACTTCTGATGCTGGTACAGTCACTGCTCCCTTCACTCCACTTTCATCATCACCATCCCATATTGTTGTCGGCAATGGACACCTTCTTCCCGTTACTTCCACTGGCGTTACCAATTTTCCTCATAACCTTCATCTTAATAATGTCCTTGTTTCTCCTGGCCTTATTAAGAATCTTATTTCGGTACGTCAGTTTACTTCCGATAACAATTGTTCTGTGGAGTTTGACCCTCTTGGCTGTTCTGTGAAGGATCTACATTCTCGGAGAGAGATCGTCCGGTGTGACAGCTCCGGTCCCCTCTACCCACTACAGTTCCATGAGCCTGCCTCTACTCTGATCGCCACCTCCAGTCCTTCGCTTTGGCACCAGCGTCTTGGTCATCCCGGTCATGAAGTCTTGTCTAGGCTAGCCCAATCGTCTGCTATTCCATGTAATAATAGTGCCAGTCAAACATTATGTCATGCTTGTCAGTTGGGGCGTCATACTCGTTTGCCATTTCATGCGTCCAATTCCAGAACCACTCATATTTTCCAATTAATACATTGTGATTTGTGGACCTCGCCTATTCCAAGTGTTCTTTGGATGCAAGTATTATCTTGTCGTTTTGATGACTTTTCGCACTACCTCTGGACTTTTCCACTTGGTTAAAGTCGAGACACCTTTTCAACCTGTCTAACTTCTTTGCATATGTTGCTGCTACGATTCGGTGTCTCTATTCGTGGTATTGATGCGACAATGGACGCGAGTTCGACAATCATGCTTCCGTGCCTTCTTCCTCTCTCACGGCGTGCAGCACCACGCATGTCTTGTCCTTACACCTCCTCCCAAAACGGTAAAGCCGAACGCATTATTCGTACCATCAATAATGTTGTTCGGCTCCCTCTATTCTAGGCTAGTGTCCCTCCGGCCCTATTGGGTTGAGGCCCTCCACCGCCACCTTGCTCCTTAACATTCTCCCTACCAAGACACTCAATTTCTCCACCCCCATATGGTCCTATATGGGTCTCCACCCTCTTATGAGCATCTTCGTGTTTTTGGGTGCCGTTGCTATCCCAACCTTTCAGCCACCGCTCCCCACAAACTCGCCTGCTTCCTCCTTGTGTGTTTTTCTTGGCTATTCCCTCATCACAAAGGATATGCTTGTCTTGACAGTCCTCCAACCGGATCATCATATCCCGGCATGTCGTCTTTGATGAGACATCCTATCCCTTCTCCGAGGATTCCGCTTGGTCCTACTCCCCAGGACTTGAGTTCTTGACTCTCATCGACCGTGATGGCTCCACCAGTGTCGTCATTTTTTATGCTGCTTGAGTTCTCCCGGCGCCACAGCACTGTACCACGTTGGTTTGTGTTTCCAGGAGCAGCGCCCCATGGCTTGCTGCTGCTCCCTCGCCCCTGGCTGGCTGGCGCATCATCTACAAGCAGGCCTGCTGCAGCATGGGTCATGCACCACCAAAGAATGGCTCCTCCATCAGCCACCCGGTGGTCTGGGCAATCGAGCATGTGCACCACCAGCAGCTGGCCCTCCAGCAGCCAGCCGGCTGGTGCAGGCAATCGTCTGTCGGTCCTCCACCCGGCTTCCAGCTACTGGGATGGGCAGGTTGCGCACTGGCGCCGATCCCACCGATTCGGCCGACATACGATGTCGCGCCACGGCCTTCCATCTCCACCGCCGCCCACCGCTTCCACCACCACCGGTACTCTCGCTGTTCGCCTTCCACTGGGCGGTTCCCATCGTCCCTGTGGTCAATCAGCATGCCATGAGGACGCGTGGAAAGCCGGTTTCAACAGCCGGCGGCATTTGACGACGACCTCGTCGCCGATCCGCTGGACGTATCGCGCCGCTCTTGCTGACCCTCATTGGCGTGCGGCTATGCGGAGGAGTTCTCGGCTCGCTTGTCAACCACACTTGGGATCTAGTTTCGCGACCACCGCGCTCTAATGTGGTGGCCTGGCAAGTGGGTCTTCAAACACAAGTTCAGGCGAGGACGGTTCTCTCGGCGCTATAAAGCGCTTTGGGTTCTTCGTGGATTCACCCGGCGCCCGAGCATTGACTACGATGAGACTTTCAGCCCGTTGCTAGAAGCCCGCCAACTGTTCAAGACTGCTTCTCTGCTATTGTCTCACGCAGATTGGCGATTCATCAGCTTGATGTGAAAATGCATTCCTCCATGGGACCCTCTCAAGGAGAGATCTCATCTGCCCACCCGGCAGGATTTGAGGACAATTTCGCCGGATTTTTCTCCGCCGCTAAACAGGTCCTTATGACGGCAAAAGCAGCGCCCGTGCTTGGTATAGCAGGTTCGCCACGTTCCTTCTCCAGTTGGGCTTTGTTGAGACCAAGTCGGACACATCCTTATTTGTTTATCGTCGGGGTTACGAGGCGCATATCTCCGCTCTATGTTGATGATATTGTCTTTGTTCGCTTCCTCGGCGGATCTACGCCAACATATTATTGCAGCGCTTCAGCGGGAATTTTCTATGAAGGATTTGGGAGAACTCCATCATTTTCTGGGCATGCAGGTTCAACGCACCAGCTGTGGCCTTTTCTTATCTCAACATCAGTATATGCTGGACATCTTAGATCGTCTTTGGTATGGCAGATTGCAAGCCCTGCTCTACTCCGGTTGATATCAACCCGAAGCTCTCAGCTGATGGCAACCCCATTGCAGATCCTACGGATTTTCGCAGCCTAGCAGGAGCTCTACAAGTATCTCACTTTCACACGGCCGGACATTGCTTATGCGCGGCATGCGACAAGTGTGTCTTCATATGCATGATCCATGAGAGCCTCACCTTGCAGCTTTGAAGCGCATATTGCGCTATGTTCGTGGCACTTTAGAGTTGGGGTTACATATTCGAGCCTCCGTCGACCTTGATCTTGTTGTCTACTCCGATGCCGATCGGGCCGGGCTGTTGTCGACACTCGTAAGTCCACCTCGGGCTACGCGGTGTTCCTCGGTGACACTTTGATTTCTGGTCCTCCAAGCGCGAACACGGTCTCTCGCCAAAGGTCTTGAAGCTGAGTATCGTCGCGGCGATCGCCAATGCCGCCGCCGAAGCTTCTTGGTTGCGCCAGTTGTTGTCTGAGCTGCATACACCCCTGCGCCATGCCACATTGGTCTACTGCGACAATATCAGCACCGTGTACATGTCTTCCAACCCTGTTCAGCATCAGCGTACCAAGCACATTGAGATTGATCTTCACTTCGTCCGAGAACGAGTGGCTCTTGGTGCTGTCCGCGTTCTTCACGTCCCGACGACGTCCCAGTTCGCCGACATTTTTACCAAAGGCTTGCCTACTGCTGTCTTCACGGAGTTTCGGTACAGTCTCAACGTTCGACCCATCGACGCTGTGACTGCGGGGGCGTGTTAGAATATACATGTATATGTGCTGTGCGTGTATGGGCCTGTGCCTGGTATAGCCGGCCAGCCCTATATTTGGTTAGAGAGATATGAGGAGATCTCTGTTGGTTCTGTTTCTATAAGCCACAAGATCTCCTCTTCCCTATATATATGTACATAGGACTCTCCAATCAATCTAATCCAATATTCCACGCAATCTCTATTGCTTTCAATCTTCATTATATATGAGACTGTTACTACAACTGCAGCCATGTCACTTCTGACAAAGGCTCTTTCTGGTGGAGGGATGTTTTGCAACTTTGTGATATGTTTCGTGGAATTGCTAAATGCAAGGTGGGTGATGGATCAACTGTCCTCTTCTGGCTTGACCTCTGGAATGACAATATTATTCAGACCAAGTATCCAAGGCTTTATACCTTTGCAAAAAAACAAGAACATCTCAGTTGCTCAGTTCCTGACAAGTAATACTTTGGAAATTCAGTTCCACCTGCCCCTCTCTGAACAAGCTTATCATGAGTATCAAAGTCTCCAAGATTATTTACAAACCATTCAGGTTCAGCAAGAAGATAAAGACACCTGGCAGTACATCTGGGGAAATAATACATACAGTTCTTCTAAGCTCTACAACCTTCCCTACAAAAATATCCAACCTCCTAAGCCCTTCATTTGGATTTGGGACTCCAAATGCTGTAATAAACTTAGAGTCTTCACTTGGTTACTTCTAATGGATAGACTGAACACAAGGAACATCCTTAAGAGAAAGAAGCGGAAATTAGAAGGGGACAACTACAACTGTGTGCTCTGCAATAGAAACATGGAAGAAACAGCCTTTCATCTCTTCTTCGGTTGTCCATTCAGCCAAAGCTGTTGGCAGCAACTTGACATACATTGGAATCTTGGTGCAGATTTCTTTCAAATGATAACCCAAGCTAAGCAGCAGTTCTCGAGCACTTTCTTCATGGAAATCTTCATCATTGGAGCCTGGCAGATATGGAAACAAAGAAACAATTTTATCTTTGACTGAGGACGTCCTTCCCTTGTTTCTTGGAAGCAAAATTTTGTGGAGGAAGCTAGATTGCAGGCCCATAGACTTTGTGATTCTAAAAGAGCAACCTCTCTGTCCTCTTTAGGACTCCAAGGCTGACTCCCTCTTGCTGTTCTCTTCTCTCCCTCTCTTTCTGTACAGTTGTACAGCCTGTAGACTGTAGTCCTTTGCCTTTCTCCCTTTCTCTCTGTACAGTTTATTTATTTGAATTTATATACCAACAGTGGGGGCTTCCCCTGCTGTATTTATGGCTCAAAAAAAAAACTGCAGAGTCGTCCCTAGCGCATCTTCTGTTTATAAGCATGTTTAATCGGTGATGACATGGATATGTATTTTATGTTTTTCCCTTCATGTGCAACAAAAATCCAGAGTGAGTGATTTATGTACAGGTGATGCCACTGTCAGGATTTTTTGTGAGCAAGCTGTTGAAATTGCCATCCCATTATGCTGCTGGACTAATTTTAGTGGCCTGTTGCCCTGGAGGTGTGTATGCACTTTCTTTCCTTTTTTTCTATAGATTGGCTACTGGCACTTGAACTGAGAAGGAAAATGTATCTGCAGGCACAGCGAGCAACATTGTGACCTATTTAGCAAGGTAATGAAAAAAATAAAGTGTCATGCCAAGAATAAATGGCATCACAAGCCTTGTTAAAACTTAAAACAATAATCATCTGGTTGGTGACAATTCATGAAATGTTGGCAGAATGATATATTTTAAGTGATTATTAATGAATGTCAAGGTGATCAATATCTTGACTTCTTCAGTGGATATAACTGACTAGTATTGAAAATTAACTTGAAATAAGTTAGTGCATTTGCATCTAATTCAAATTCAATGGAGGCAAATAATCAAAATTTCAGGAATAGGGAAGTGTATTGAAAAAGTAAAGAGACTTAGATAAATTAATATTCAAATTGCAGGGCAAATGTTGCTCTTTCAGTCCTGATGACAGCAGCAAGCACTTTCGCTGCAGCGGTAATGTGCTACTCTCACATCTGCAATCCTCAACTTAGCTGTTATCTTTTGCTTTTTATTCACATGTTGCTCCCTGATGCAGTTCATGACCCCTCTCCTGACATCCAAACTTGCTGGGCAATATGTTGCAGTAGATCCAATGGGACTGTTTGTGTCCACATCTCAGGTGCTGCAAATTTCAAATTTGGTCTGTCTGACATCTAATTTCTTGACCCCTGGCTAATGTTGATATATCTTTTACAGGTTGTCCTCGCACCTGTCCTTTTGGGTGCTCTACTTAATCAGTATTGCAATGGTCTGGTTCAATTAGTGTCCCCGTTGATGCCCTTCATTGCTGTAGCAACAGTAGCCATTCTATGTGGCAATGCTATTGCACAGAATGCTTCAGCAATCCTGGCATCTGGGTCGCAAGTGGTTTTATCTGTTGGTTGCTTGCATGCATCTGGCTTTTTCTTCGGCTATGTTCTTTCAAGATTACTTGGCATTGATATCTCTTCAGCAAGAACAATCTCTATTGAGGTTGGCATGCAGGTAACTGATGTAGAAATATTGTATCATCATGTTATCTAAGATAAAGATTATTTGAAAGTTTTTATCTCGTTCTATTTAAGCAACTCTTGATCTCTTGGTGAACCAAGTTCTCCCCCATTTTTTTCTCATGTTTCCAAGGATCTACGACACCGCCATCAGTTTATGGCCTTCCAATTGTATAATCGGCTGTACATTTCAATGAATTTCCTTTCTTTGCAGAACTCAGTGTTGGGCCTTGTCCTTGCAACCAAGCATTTCGGCAACCCTCTCACGGCTGTTCCATGTGCTGTTTCGAGCATCTGCCACTCGGTCTATGGTAGCATTTTGGCTGGGATCTGGAGGTCTATGCCCACCAAGGACAAGGGAGAATGATGCGATGATCATGTCAACCATCTGAATTCTCTGGTCTCCAATGATGAAGGATTTTACCCGTGGGAGTAAACCGTTGATAGGATGGCACTGTCAGCAGCAGCACTTTGTGTATGACCTATTGCAGAGTAAACACCGCATAGTGGAGTGCGCTATAAAACAACTAGGCTCGCACTAGACTGCTAGTGGTTCATTTGTTTTCTGGAGGTCTGTTGATGAGGGTTTCGTTGGACTCGGTGTAGTTGGTGAATACTTCCTCTGTTTCAAACAATAAGTCACTTTGATTTTTTTTACATCTATTGCTATGTATTTAGATATAATAATATGTCTAGATACGTATTAAAATATGAAAAAAAAATTAAAATAACTTATAATTTAAAACAGAAGGAGTACATGATTGCTATGGATATGGATATACACCATACTACCATGGCAGCTTGTTTATCACACATTCACTTCAACGCCCAGCATCTCAGTTTTAAACGGTGCAACGTGTCAGTTTCTCAAGGGCGTAGCAGCGTACTGTTGTTTTCCGGAGTTGTTGACTCTCCCCCTCCAGCCAACCAGTGTGTGGGGCCGCAAGTCTTCATTTTGTTTTATTTGAAGGAACAATAATAAAACAGTAACGCTCTGGTATAACCATCTCAAGGTTAAATACGCAAAGAAACAATACATTTCCACCTCACGCAAGTGCCTTGTAGTAAGTACAGACATAATAAAACAGTAACGCTCTGGTATAATCATCTCAAGGTTAAATACGACTTTGTCCTTTTGTCATACAAAGAAACGACCAAAAAGTAATTTATGTTACATATCTTTTTTTTAATGAGATTTCTGTTACATATAGCTGGGAAGTCGTTCGCAGCACGGACTGGCTGCCGTCTGAAGAATATGAACGGATGAATTCCAAAAGCTGAAACTGGTGAACAGAAGAACTTAACCAGACGAGGAAAGAACTCAGCCTTCACCCAACCGAGAAACTCCCCGAATACTGGCGTGCAGACCGAATTTTGGGTTGACAGCGAGGTGAACTGTAGAAGCCAATCTGACTCTTGAAACTACTGGTTGACAGACCTACACACATTTATCTCACATCTCACATGCTAATTATACACCAATTGGTCTCCCCCAAGGTTTTTGTTCCTTCTCAGTTGTATACAAGAGCACAAACCTATCATTTCATCAAGGAATCACGATGAAGATATGTACAAACAAAATACTTCCATATGAACTAACTGGCCTTTATTCAACATCTAGTTCGCCACTTTTATGGCATACACCAGCTCCTGAAATGAAGAGCAAAACATTTAGAAGAAATGTGAACGAGGTTATTCAGATAATCAAAGTGTTTGATCTCACCAGAACCCCATTAGGAAATGTGAACGAGGAGCGCAAGTCTGAAAGGCGTTCCTCCCCTGCGAGCCTTGCTTTGTCAAGACCAGATGGATTAGTGCTGACAGGATTGCTATAAGAAGGCTTCAGCGCATACATCTCAACTTCTTCATCTTTGTGAGATGTCTGACTGGCGACAAACTACACAAAGATATCCGTCTGTAAGTTCTGATTTCTGACAATGGACACAAGTGTTTCAATAAGTACTGACCTGACAAAGTTGTTTGATGGAGAGAGTTGGGCTGCAGCACAGATATGACTTCTCCAGATTTGGTGCCGTTTGTCCATCAAGTGGAAGCAGACAAAGATGTACGTCACGCTGTCAAATAAAGTCAGCAACTAATGCAACACTGCAATGAATAAGGAAACATAATATTACAAGCATTTTTATGTTCACCTCGCTGTCATTGTCGTCAGAATTTCGCAGGCACTCAACCAACTTGATCATGCGCCCACCCTTGACCATCCTACTATTTGAACCACTGAAGCTACTGTGGCGAGTCTGACTGCGAGTGCCATTCTTTCCCCATGCTCGTAGAGGAGATGTGCTAAAATTTTCCCTGGAGATTCCTACATCATCCTTTTCATCAGAAGCGGCCTCGTCATTGCATGCTCCTCGGGCAGGTGAAGAACGTGGTGTTGGCCATTTTGGCAGTCGTTTCTGCTTTTTCTCTGGGGAACTCTCCTCGGCAGATGAGGACTCTTTGTTACAGTTTTCACCGTTTCCATCCTCTTCATCTTCAGAACAGGCCAGAGCAACATCATCGGAACTGGCTCTACCTCGGCCACGAAAATAGGTATTCTGCCCATTAGGCCGAATGTTACGGCGTGATCTTCTTACAAATGCAGCAGCAGTAGCTTTGGCGGTAGACTTCCGCCCAATAACTTCTGATTGTTTCCGAAAAGCCTCAGCAATGGATGCTTGAATCTTCACATGTACATTAATCAGGAAAATGAACTTGAGTTCAATGTAAAAATAAGAGAGAGGAAACAAAATGGCAGGTGCACACAAATATGTCAATCATTAGTTCGGGTCTTTATAGGTGTTAGACTTGAATACAAGAGCATTTGCATATGCACAGACATCAAAACAATGTTCCTGGGTTCTTGAAGAAAAAGGCTTCTAAATATTCTTATCTGCACTTTGTTGACAGGGTAGGACATAGTTGGCAGTTTCATGACTCCACTATTCACGTGGTTGACATAAGTTTCCATTCATTGGAACAAAGAGCAGGCTTTACAGTTTACAGTTCCAAATAATATAATGAAGTTCTGCACTAACAAAGTTAACATGAAAATAGTTGTTCTATTTCATTTTTGTTCCTTTATGAAGTTCTCTTTACTTTCAAAGAACTTTATGAAGTTCTCTGTCATTAACTTATTATTATCCTTCTGCAAGAAGTGCAGTTGGACCAAACAACCTGCTCAATGCTACGATGTCAACTTAGTTCAAAATTTTGATTCCTTAGAAATAAAATTTAGCCAGGGCACCTGTCTATTGATGCTTGGACACGTTAAAACATTTTCTTTTGAAACGAGCAGAAAACGGGTAACAGAGTTGACCAAATTTGATTCCTTAGAAATGAAATTTAGCTGGGATTTTTCCTACTACCCATCCAGAAAATGCTAATGCAGGGAGGTCCACATGGGACAAAACTATCCTACGACTACGAGAAGTAGCAGGGAATCATATCACACCATTTTTGTAACACAGGTTCAGAGGGGAATCATATTTGTAACACAGGTTCAGAGATCTAAGTCAAAATTGATAGGGAATATTTGATGCGGAACACCACAACAGATGCGCATGAACGTGGATATAAAACTGATATCAGCAAAACAGAAATAGAAAAGAACCTGCTTATTGCGGTCATTCTCCTCTTCGTTGAACGCTAGCTCCTGGACATGGGACAATGCATAAACATTTCTTAGGATCAATCTCTTAATATGAATAAACAAATACCAAGTACAATACCTCTTCTTCATATTTGTCAATATCTGGATATAGAGCTGCAATCAAGGCATCGTAGTTCGGATCATCTCTCAAAGAACGCCGACTCGCACAGTGTGTGCGGCACGCTGGGCACTCGTTGTTCCTTTATAGCAAAGGGATATGTTAGTAACAATACTGTGCTACTCAACATGGGCTGACAAAATGTCTGGTGTACATGCAAAGAAACATGCAGGGATGCATGTTACAATATAGAACAAAAGAAGAGAACTGTAAGTCTTGACTCAGAAGCCAAAGCAACACAACAGCAATGCCATAAAGTAGTGATATATTACCCAAGTCGCATGGATTTGTCAATGCATTCCCTACAGAACCGGTGTAGGCATTCCATAACTGTTCTAGTCTTCCGGATGATGCCTAGCAGCATAAGATGGTTCCACAATCAGTAAATTAAAGTTGATATTCAGTTATGCAACATGTTTATAGAGTTTTTGTATGACACCAAGAATGAAATTGACAAGGAGTTATATCTGCAAGCAACATCTTTCTGTTAAAAACATATTGGCTAAAAAAAGCTACAAAAGTAAAAATGGAAAACCAAAAGCTTCACAGAAACCATTATTTACTGCTGGAATGAAGAAAGTTAGTTTTAGTTAAGCATGACTAAAATATGTACCATCCATTGGCTCTAGCTCCTAATATATGGCATGTCCAAGAAAATACTTATCTTTGTGACCAGGATTCTCTCCAACTGAAAGTATAGGTGGGTTTCAAAATACTGAAATGTCAACATTATGTGTTTGCAATGTACAGTATATGAATAATCTAGCCATATAGAAATGGCAGCTTCTTTTGTGCAATACAAAAGGTTACAGGTTTGTCTGCATTAGTGTAGGTACCTAAGCATATGGGACACTGCACTTCTTTGCGTACATCCGGCAATTTTACTGGTACAAACCTGCAGGAGTCAGTGCAAGTGTCAATCTCTTTAAAATGGGTGGGAAAGCAAGAGAAATGAACATCCTGTAATAAAATTATAAGAATCATAAAAAAAATGAGGTGAAGCACAAGATGACTCTAGTATAGATCATGTATGCTACACAAGGTGGTGCTGAAGCCTGAAGGTGTAATTTGAGAAATAGTCAGAGCTTACAAAGGAGTTGTATGTTCAGGACTAAAAAAACTCAACCTGCGGGGGGTAGGACAACCCCTGGGCATTGCATTAAGAAGAAAACCTTCTCACACAGGTCGAGAAAACCCCCGAACCCCTTCCCCACCCATAAACAACGGCACCGTAGCCCATGTGAGAGCGACCACGACCAGGGCCAGACCTTAGACCTGTGCTTTGGCATGGGAGAGATGAGGGGATTTTTTTAACTCCAGCCTTAAAATTCACTCCCACGGGGAGTCAAACCTGAAGTGGTACTCAAGCCACCTAACCAACTCAGGTAGAGGCCCTTTCGCTGTATGTTCAGGACTAATAATGTATCCTGAAACACTGCATGTGCCTGCTGTTTCAGTTGATGCATGTGAAAATGACTGAGGCAAACAAATAGTTCATCAACTTGCTAGAAATTATGAGAAGCAAATATCCTAGGCAAACACATTGTAAAATCTGCCGTCTAAAGTCCAAAGGCAAACAACATTGCTCAAGCTCAGC